GAATTCTTTAGAAATCATTCCGTTATTTACATTTTAAATTAAGTAGACTTACTCTTGTTGTTTACAAATTTCCTGTTTCTCCTTATACAATGGTGGTTCTGATTGTCAAGGCCCCAGGCAAGTGTAAACAATCGGGCCTTCTGTATATTATGAATATTTATTTATTTAATGTAAAGGCCGTATCGCACCGTGTGAAACGAAAGCTTTCCTAGTCGCTAGAGACCCACGTAACATTCAGATGACAATGACAAAGCGATCCAGAAATATTTAGAGAAGGTGCAGAAAGGAAACAATCTTTTACTACCTGAGATACCCGGCTTTATTCGAAAAATCCTCCAGAAGGGGGTGCAGTTGCGCCCTGCTCACCCCTAAATCCTACTTTGCATAATATGGCCTGTCTAGTTCTTCTATAAGGAGCAGAAGAGAAGATTCCTCGTTTGATAGGGGTATTTGGAATTTTCTGCTTGTTTTTCGTGTGTTTATTATTTATCACACGTAGATAGATGATAATGTAAGTAGAAACAGACCCGTTTAACATGATTTTAGTGAATCAACTGGCTGTTTAGTTGATCTAAATCGTACGACCTGCTTCGTCCTTGGTATGGAAACTCCTAAAAGAGCGAAATCTTAGACCAGGGGTCGATAACCTGCCGTTCTGGAGCCGCACGTGGCTCTTTGAGAATGTTTATGTGGCTCCAAACGTCACTCTCCGGCATATAGAACGTCTCCAGTGCAATTCAGCAGCCAATAAATGATTATATTTTTCAGAACCACGAGTTTGAAAACGATTGTGTCAGAGCCCTTTTTTCGTTGTGCAAGTGTGAAAGCTGCACAGGTTTTTTTGAAAGCTTGGCGTGACTGTTTATGTATTTGTGGAGTTAGAAATTGATACTGAGTTAATAACGTAGAAATTCAGATTGAAAGCATTTTCAAGCTTTCAAAGAAGGCTGTAATTAGAGAAGTCTGTACAACAATGGCTAAATAGATAATTACAGAGCAGCGGAAGGATTTTTAAACGAAAGCTCCTTCACAAAATTGCTTCTAAGCAACAGCAAATTGCACGGAAGCAAACTTCGTTTTCAATGTTTATTATGCAGTATTTTCAATCGACAATACTTATTCAAGTGTTTGATACGCATTGTTCATTTGCTTATCTCGAGGCTCTTGGCATTTCGGTTTGTCGAAAAATTGGCCCTTCTGGCAAGAAAGGGTGCAAAGATCTAAGTTACGCCCGCGCCTGCGGCCATTGTATGCTTCATTTTACATTGTTAATTTCTTATAATGGATTAGTTACGTGACTCGTTCGTCGCGACTCTTACTCTTACCGATCATTAATCGGTGAGGAATACGAAGAACTCGTTTCTTTATGCGCAATTTGATTGGATGATTATGTTTTGTACGACCATTCTCGACCTTTGACCTTTTCCTTTCGAGAAAATGGAAAACGTTATTGTAAAAATGAGAAAATGGACGATGAAAATTAGTTTCTAAATCGATTCTAATAAAATTTTACTTGGAAATTACGCGCAATCGATAAGTTTAAACGCCATTTTTTTGCGCGTAATATTTATAAAAACTATTCCAGAAATTAATTGTTGTTCAAAATATACATTTACGAAAATAAATAATTAAAATTAATTTATTTTATATTATATTTTAGCGCGTAAAATATAAAAAAAAAAAATTTAATCTCACTAAGAGGAACACTAGTCAATAAAAGGATTACATTATGACGTGTTATGACGCTTATAATATTAATCATTTCGAAACTTTATACAGAATTAATCGAATATTAAATTATGATTTAAATATAGATTTAATAACGAAACGTTTAAATACAGTAAAACTCGTATAAAACGGAATCACACGAATATTTTTTTCGGCATTCTACAATGCCGGCTTACACGGGTTTCTTTAGAGTTTCGTAAATATATGAAATTATAATTTTTCGGGTTAAGTAATAGAATTTCGCCCCCGAAATCGCTTAAGAAGGGGAGATATAGTTTCCTTTTACGACAGGAAAATCGAAGAACGTCATATATCATCGGCAAGATAGGAAAGTTAAGAGGAAGATCGATGGCGACGGAGACGATCCCCTTGAGATTTTCAAAAACGCGCGGGGAATATCGCGTGGCAATTCGCTTCGAATGTCTTAAACACGGACTTCGATAAACGAAAATTGGAAATCGTCCTAACCACGCGGGTCTTATCAATTCTTCTATCACTTTTACTTCGTCTTCTTGGATCAATAGAGAGAAAGGAAAATTTATTACCTCTCGCTTATTAATTAGAATTGGGATCATTCAAGTATTACATCGGTAGGTTGTGGGTGAGGGGGGATTCGTTTGTATCTGACGGTTGCTGAAGAGTGGGTCTAGTATTTGATGTGGGTTTGCGCCTGGTCAACGAGCCAGTCACGTGGAGTATTCAAATTAGTAACATCTAAATAGGGAGCCAGTTTTCCATAAAAGACCATCCAGGAGGTCTGTCTTGGTGATGCACTGGCAATATTAGGAGATGCAAGTAGGAACAGACACGAATTTTAATTTAAATTGGTGATTTAAAGACTGACAGAAGATATTTGAAGGGCACAGAATAATTTTGAGAGTTGCAAGCCCCGAAATACCCTCGTAACTACGAGTCTGATGGAAAATACGCTACGTTGAAACGTTTAGGGCCATTTTTCGACCTCCATATCTTATTTAAACAAATAATAATAATAATAATAATTTTGCGTGCATCTCCGGAGACGTAAAGTGGAAGAATTTTTAAGATCGATGAGCTCAATTCCCAATTCTCGTTTATCGAGACGAGATTTGGTGTGATATTCGAGGCGATTGCGATCACGCGATATTCCCCGCGCGCTTCTCTAAATAGTCGGAAATTCTCCTCTCTTAATCGATCTTGCTCCCGCTACTCCTTAAATTTCCTTTATCGAAGACGATTGAAGACGAGAGGAGACGGGAAAAAACCCTCCATTAATTGTTATTAAGAGTTTGCTTTGAAATTCGGATTAAATGTCGTTAATTTAATTGTCCGACGAAGAATAATTTTGAGGAACTCGTGTAAATCCCGAGAATAATTCGTTAAATCGGGGAAAACGTCAATGAAGAATATCCCCTCCCTACCAGGGAAGGCCTGACTTAAAAACTTGTGGCCCTATGTTAAAATATATAGCTGGCCCTTCCTGTCCACCAAATAATGATACATTTAAAATGTCAGGCCCTAACTACTAACTAACTCGAGGCCCTAAGCTGCAGCTCGTTAGCTTACGCGCGAATCCGGCTCTGATCCCAAGCCTCTCGGAGGCCCGTGCCAGTTAAACTTTTGAGGCCTCCCTGTATATTAGAAGCGAGGTAGCTTTAAAAACTTTTTAAGTAATAAAATTTAGTGGGGGGTGAAACACTTTCTGTTCTTATAATACAAGATGCGATAGAGTGAAGTTCTTGTAACAAATGTTTTTCTGAGGTTCTCATAAATGTCGAGCTGCGGCCAAACGGTGCTGCTGGCCATGACATGATAAGGCCTGGTCTCTTCAAGTGCAAGTACAAAAGGGAATTTTACGTAGGGAATTGTTTCTCGGTATTATTCTCGCTTTCACTGGTCGTGCCATTCATCTCTCTTGTACTAACGAAGCCACTGGATAGACTAATTATCCGTCCGGGTCGACTTTGTCTAATTATAATTTAAATACTTTGTGTATTAATAACCAGAAGTGTTTAAATTATAATTAAAATCGATCGAATTATCCGCCGTTGCCGTTTCGTAACTTAATGACGTCATTCGTAATACCCAGTCGCTTCTCTCTTTCGGGATTTGTTTGTTTCTTTCTTAAATTAATGCGAATCGCTCGCTAACGTTACGCGTCTATTTAATTTCAAAAAATGGAGAATATTATAAAAAACATTCGAATGAAATAATAAAAATCGAACGAATAAATAAATAAATTAATTCCCCGAGTTATTTCAGACTTTCGCCGAGAGATGGCGGCACGTCCGTCATACTTTAATCGCCATATTGTTTTAATTGTCGGATAAAAATCGAAAGTTGGTCCGAATTACCTGCGGAGAAATAATTAAAATAATTAATTTAAAATTATAAATATAAATATTATTAAAATAAAATAATTAACTTAGATTTCACTCGAGTGACGACTCTCTAGTTTTCGTGTCGCTACACGTTTCCGCCTTTTTGTGTTTCGTCACGTCTCGATTAGCCAATTAAGTGTTCTATCAATTATCAAATTTGCATATGATGTGTTGTTTCCGGGTGTTTAATAATCACGTCGTCCTTAGTGTTTGTTTCTTATCTCTATGCGTGTTAGAATCGGGAAGTGAACTCGCGAGTACGAAAGGAGCGCATATTTAACGCGTCAATGCGTTGCATTGTTTCTCATGCGATGTAACAATACAACTGTATGTAAAGATTCTTTCTCCGTAACGAAATTGCCGTAACCTGCGCGTGGAATTTCATATAATATATTAAAATTCCGAGGTAGAAGCGATCAAATTCAATCTTTATTAATTAACACATTTTTTTCGGCAGTTATTTTCGCGTAAATGCATAAACACTGTAAAAAATTAACTGGTATATATATTAAAATTATTTTAAAAATATTTAAAAAATTTAATTTTCGCTCCGAATTGAGCGGAAATGAATTTCTTTAAACGCTGTAGTGACGACCGTTTTTTTTTTTTTTTTTTTAGTGTAACTTTACGATTATCGATCGAAATTCGGTCGCACGTCACTTCCGCATTAAATTTTTATGACGTTTCTTCTCTTCTATAAACATCGATCACTTTTCTTTTTGTTGGTAAGATTCTAGCCTCGAATGAGAGGGTGGCCACCCCCCAGAGGGGTCGAACTTCCCTCATTCAAAGCTAAAATCTTATCGTTTTCCTCGTAAGCTTTCGTCGCGCCGAAAAAATTTAATTTTTTAGATTCTTTCAAAGAGTGAAATTATGAATGTTTACAAAACGAAATCTTAAAATTTCTTTCAGCTTTACGATCAGATCCACATGAAATCCTTCACCCCTTTGAGATATCCTTTCGTGGATGCCATCTCTGCCGTCAGAGAGGTGAGTTTCTTCTTCCTGGTTTATCATCCCTTATATCTGTTAGGATGTGTTAATTAAAATAAAAAATAAATCTGGAGATAATTTCGAGTCCCGTATTAACATTTCCTCGTTTATACTTCAGACTTTCCCATTTATAATGAAATAAAGCAGTCGTAAAGTGGCCATTCTCAATAAGGATCGGCCAATTTGCGATTTTGTAAGAACGAATAGCGAATCCTGCTTATTGCGGCGTTGAATAGGTTAATACACGACCTTTCGACATCCGCTGATCGAAATATTTCGTCACTTTTACACGATTTAGCACTCGTTACTGCCAGGCTCGACCCGCAATGGGATCAAAACTTCAAAAGGAGGGACGTAAAACAGTTTTCCGAACCGTGATCGTGCCTACAGTAACCGAAATAAGGGATAAGACTAATGTTACTCTCCAAATTACATAGTCTAGTATTTTATCTAACCTTTAACCTTTACTAAATGCTTAGTTTTAGCACTTTCCCGGTATCTCCAATTGTACTTTGGTTCCGAAATTATTATCTAATTCGGCAATTTAATTAAGAAACACGCATGTATCCGCCGTAAATTTAATTATTATCTCGGAAAATATCCTTCAAATAAAGTTTTTTAAATATAATTATAAATTGTGTTACTGTATGACGTTTCTTTCTTTGCAGGTTTTGGATATTCTCAAAGAATGCCCTGTAGATCTAGAGACTGAAGCTGAAGAACTGAGAATGATTCTTTGTAAAGACGATATTAAAGTAAGTACTGTATGTTATCCTTATTAATTAAGTGTTAACATACTGTTGCTCTTATGATTCGGGCTCCAGTCGCGGTCTTCAGTTTTTCACAGGTCGTCTTTCCCTGTTACATCGGGCTCAGCTGTCATCACCCGATCGTCTCCATTATGAATTTAGCCAGACCTATAATGGGTATGATTAAAGATAGTATACACAAGACTAGGAAAAATGTGTTCACAGATAGAAAGAGTTCTTAATAATATTTAAATTAACAAATATTTGATACATTAAAATTTATGGTTTAGTGGATGAGATATGGCAACGCGACACATTGGCAATCTGCAAAGGGCAATCTGAAAGTCTTCCAGAAAGACTTTCTACGGGAAATTTGCCCATATTTAGATGTCAGACACACGAAGAAAACCAGGCAAACGGATAAAAAAGTGAGCATCCGATTCAGATTTACCGTCATCCGTATGGATGAAAAATTAAAGAGGAACTCGAAACGGTAGAACTGATACAATACAATTGAACGTTAAGATTGTAAACTTAACGTCGAGAAAAGCGTTTATACGCTACAGTGAAACATGACACATCACATATTTCATCCACACGTTGAGCGACATAAGAAATATCTGGTGTCACCCACAACTATCGTGCAAAGAGAAACATTTCTTTTGGTTTTTTCTACTTTAAAGTGCTTTTCTCTCTGTGCGCACTAAGATCCCTTTTTATATTCATTGTGAGTTTTTCCAGCACACAATGGGGACGGCCGGGTGGTGAGTGCTCAATTTATTCGGGACGAATCACCCGTGATATTTTGCCGTTCAAATTCGATCCCGGATGCCCTAGAACAATAGGTTGACGCCTTAACTAAGTGAATAAAACTACTGAACTCTGGTGGTTGGCCTCACCGATGAGCTAGTAGTGTGGAGTTTTCAGGGTTTACTTTGCGAGCCTAACACCTAAATAGGGACCAGTTTCTTATAGGGTGTGCTCGAACTCGTTCGACCGGTTCGACCGAGTCACTCGGGATATGGATCATTCCGTTCAAAACTAAGCCTTGGATGCCTCCACAGCGTTCAGAAAAGGAGTTGATGACATAATATGGTTGTGATCCGGTCTACATGGACCGATTACTCATACTGGGACCTTAGTCTCCGCGAGTTACGTGACTAAAATGGTGATGCACTGTTTTCGTGTGCTCGGGATATCATGCAACATGAGATAGTTTTGAAGACATACGGGCTCATATTCTGCAGATACATGAGATAGGGATTAATAATAATAATAATAAAGGTTAAATAACGTCCATCTCGCCAAGAGCTATCCCTTCAAATGCTAATCAAAATTTAAGAAATAGGTTCTAAGGTCCGCGCATAAGCCTATACAACATCGCATCTATGCAATTCATTGATCACTAATCAGCAACTTGTTTACGTACTGTAATACTTTCTAACTTTCATCTCACTCCTGTAACGCTCCGTGACATTTCGCATATGGTCACTCCCGAAATTACGTACCGCATATTCTAGACCCCTTTTATCGTATTGCGGAATAACAGCATGTGGTACCGAACGTTACATTATTTTATTAATTACGTATATAATGTATAGAACCGTGACATAACAGTATGGTTTGTTATTCAACATTTCAGAAACAAAATTGAATCATTTTGTTATCCAAACGTTCAGACCCTAGCATTACCCTTCCCCTTATAACGCGTTGTAACGATTACCCGCATGCACACTTATCCATGACCGCCTTACTTAATTAATTTACACTTATTGTGAAGAAAATACGGAAAACTGCACGTGGCCAGTCGGTTGATAGGGTGCAAACCCACCGTCTTTGGAAGCGGTAAAAGCGCCGCTTCCCTTGTATTTTCTAAAATATAAAGATATATTGTGCGATTATTTTCATATTTTAACGTACTTTGAATCAATTAAAATTAATATTTTATTATAACGGCATTATGTATCTTATTACACATTTCTATACTACATGTGAAAAAAAAAAGATAAGATTGCTATTGTATATTCGAGTATCAGTGGCGGAATGGAAGCGCTGTATTGTTGAATACGGGACAGCTTCCAAACAGTCAGATTATACGCAGTATCTAACCTTTAACCTTTACTAAATGCTTAGTTTTAGCACTTTCCCGGTATCTCCAATTGTACTTTGGTTCCGAAATTATTATCTAATTCGGCAATNTAAAATTAATATTTTATTATAACGGCATTATGTATCTTACTACAAATTTCTATACTACATGTGAAAAAAAAAAGATAAGATTGCTATTGTATATTCGAGTATCAGTGGCGGAATGGAAGCGCTGTATTGTTGAATACGGGACAGCTTCCAAACAGTCAGATTATACGCAGTCGCGCATGCGCTTTGCAGAGCACCAACCTCACTGGTGGATGCTACACACCAAAATATCGTATAACGCTTCCAATGATTCTATCCAGGACCGGTTCTGGGCTGTTAGTCACTTGCGTGTTAGATATTTGACCGCCCTCGCCCCATTATATGAATCGCGAGTAGATTTATAACTTAACCCAACCGATAGGAGTTTTACTGGTATGATTTTATGATAGTTCTGTATAGTTGACAGAAGTTTTAAAAAGTCCATTAAAATATTTGATATATGTATTCTGCTTTTATTATACTTTCCCATTTTGTATTGCTTACAGATTTCAATGTTAAACCTGTGCTATTACGATTTAGTATGTCCCATCTGTAAGGGGATGCAGAAAAAAACGTGCACAATTATTATACAATGTTAAAAAATTAACTCTTACTTTGGTAGCATCATTTACAACTAAATTTAATGAATGAGATGAACAAGATACAGAAAAAGCTTTAGAATTTATTTTCCTTACTTTTACGATTTATGTATCCGTTTGTCATAAAAATTTGTTTTTCCACTTTTTTCCCAAGACTACAAATATTCGAGTACAAAATAACAGACGGCCGAATGGCCGAGCGGTCAAAGTGTCAGCCTGCCGCTCTGGGGGACCCGGGAACGAATCTGGAAAGGTCAAGGAATCCCCAGGAATTTTTCGGGGGATGGTCCGTTCGGATATGTCGGGCTCCGTCCCTCACCACCCGGTCACCCCATTGTGAGCCTGGCCGAACTCATAATGGACCTGCTATAAGAGGCCCTCTTAGTGCCACAGGGCGGAAAGAGTATTAAAAAAAAGTACAAAGTAACCGGTTTCGACTTATTTCTACTTAAGAAGTAGTTAAATAATCAAGAGATTAGGGAATTAGAGACATAAATAAAACCCTGCTGAAAGTATATTAATAGAACAAAAGCCTAACCGAACCAATCTAGCCGAGTACAGTGGGGACTGATTTCTTCGTAATAGGCTATTAGATGTAATAAAGACAGAAATTTTTCCAGCTCAATGAGAGTGACCGAAAAGTTGTGAATTTTGAAAATTTCCGTGGACAACACCTGGTCCTAAACGAATTAGAAAACAAATGACGGACAATCTATTAAGTTTAACATATTTAGATTTTTACAGCTATGGTGAGAAACGTTTAAAATTTATAACAACCCTGTCGCGTCATTTCAGATATACTAGTGATGCGACAAAAGAGGCATTTGACATTAACCGGTATCGGCACCCTCGGGATTTGGCATGCATCCATGCACGCATTACACACCTACCGAGATCGTCTCTGATTCCACTCGTAGGGAGCTGTTTGACTAAGTGGTTAAGATTTAAAGAGTAAACAATATTTTACGTTATTTTTATGTACGTTTCTTTACAAAGCTATATTTAATAGCGGCCGGATGGCCGAGCGGTGAAGGTGGCAGCCTACTGCTCTGGGGGACCCGGTTTCGAATCCGAACGGGTCGAAAAATCTCCAGGAATTTTTCGGGGGATGATCCGTTCGGATATGTCGGACCCCGTCCCTCACCACCCGGCAGCCCCATTGTGGGCCTGGCCGAACCCATAATGGGCTTGCAAAAAGAGGCCCTCTTAGTGCGCACAGGGCGGAAAGAGTTAAAAAAAGCTATATTTAATTATGATTTTCTTTAAAAGTATATTCATACAATTGAATATTTTGTACCAGGTATATCCACCACACATTTTATTTCACCAAGTAAGTTTTTATAATTTTATTTCTAATTGTAGCCCTTATATCGTGGCTAGCGATTTAGAATATAATTGTGATATTAAAAATACATTTAGAGAAGTCTATGGTTTTTTACTGGCTTATCGAACAAACGAATACGAATGGACCCTAGGCCAGTGTTTCCCAATTTTTTTTTGTGCTATGCCCCGCCTAAACCTTTCTAAAATTCTTATGCCCCCCTAACATATACAGTGGCTATACCAGGCATGGCCAACATACGGCCGTCTAATGAATTTATGTGGCCCGCGATTAATCTTTCAATATTAGCTACTCAAGTCCGAATAGTTAGATGAAAAATTCTGACGCCTAAAAAAAAAGTCAACAACTCACTGTGTGTTTAGAGTTAATCCTCCATTACAAATCCCTTAAGTACAGTAAAAAATGTATCTGTAATCTCTATGTACTGTACAATTTAGTCTCTACAGTTTAGTCAGATAAATTACTGTATCTGTAATCTCTCGCGCCACCTCAAAATCTTCCTAGGGCAGCGTCTGGTTCGGCCCGTGAAAAAAGTTTTTTTCCAATTCGTCCTGGGGACAAAAACTGTTGGCCACCCTTGGGCTATACGGTTAACTTAAACTCTGGGTGAGTCCATTTTTAAATTGCCCCCTTAACAACCGACTTGCCTCCCTGTGGGGCGTGGCCCCACGTTGGGAAACACTGCCCTAGACCCTCACTGACGCGCAATTAACTGATTGCCCATGGAAGTCGGCTTCTTACAGAAACACAGCTTCCCTATCATCAAATGTCACAGCACGCTACAGTGCAAACCATTGTTCAGTGACAGCAGTGTAATGTTGTCAATACTCTTTCGCGAATTCGAACTTTAATTCGAATATAAATTTCTCGTATTCGAGACACGAGTAGCC